GGTAGGGGGCTGGAGTTACACTTAAAAAATTTACCTGTTCCTTCCAAATTACATACAAATTCCACTCAAGAACAAACCTACAGTCCCTATCTTGTTCGTAACCCGGGGACTGCCTGTATTTATGTTTTTTCCTCATTTGTAAACATATTTTATTTATACTAAGTCAGGCATTAGGGCTATACATTTATATCACATATAAGTGCCCATCAGTCCTCTAAAAAATAATATATCATATGTGTGGGTGCACTCAGTAAGAAAGTATATTACTGCCGGGGAAGGATCACACAGCGAAAAATAAGTGCTTCAGTCATTAACGAACAGAAAACTGAGAAAAAGCTCAGTCATGAAGGGGTTAAACCCCAGTAAGTCTGAATTGGCAGCGAATATCAAATAATCGGCTGCATTATATCTAAATGTCAAATGTGTGTTAATAGTTTTCTTAAGCTCTTTGTAGCGCAGGTATAAAGACGGAAAAATTCACAGTCTGTCATCCTGTGTTATAGGGTTGTGAAGTGCTGATTATTCACCAGTAGAGGGAAGTGTGACATTATAATGTCTTCACAAGCAGCAGCAGGGAAATGTCAGACTTGTCTCCTTATGTGAACCACACTGACTAGAGGTGGGAGGGGTAAGGGGGGGGGGAACTGAAGTGTACAGCAGATGCCACTGACATTTCTAATGGAGACACTGAAAGGAAGTTTGTATTTATAACACCTTGCTGTTGCACTGACGCATGCTGTGAAAACGTCAGTCTCACCTAAAAATCTGCAAAAGGAAATCGAACATACCACAAAAAAAAAACATCTGGAGTGTAAGAAATAGACACAATTAAGTGAAAGGCTCTGAAAAGGAGAGGCATGCTATATCCAACAGATGCAGCAATATCCCAAAGACGACCAATATCCCAAAGAAGGAAGCCCTTGTGTCTCAGGTTTGCAAGCTGTTTTTACTAAATGTAAACACTAAGGGCCTGTTCACACCAAATCCAGTGCCTTCCAGCCCAAATCGGACCAGAACGCACTGAATATGGTGTGAACTAGCCCTAAGGGGTATATTTAAAAAGCAGTGAATGCTTTCTGAATGTCACATTTACAGATGTATCTTGCTGGGGCATTCATTATTTTGTATCTATGGAAGAGTAGTGGTGTCACCCTAGAACAACAAGTTTGTTAGGACTAAAGAACACTTCCTCATCTCCTCCACTCCAAAACATAGGAGGGGGGGAGTTGCAGTTATTATTTATTATTCCCAGTTTGCAGAGGTGAACTGGGCAGAACTGATGTTCTCAGCTCACAAAACCTCTGGCAGGTTAAACAGATATTTTTTCACTTTGAAAGTTCATTGTTAGGATTAGCTTATACTGTAAATATTAGTTTGACAGACACATAACTAAACCTACCAGTACAGTATTTTTATTCACAAAAACTGCTACATTGCAGACAAGTCAGCCTATTTGTGTTATAAAGTGAGATGAGGAAGTCTGTGAAAAATGTTAAATATTGATCTTTTATACCCACATATTTTTCTGCCGTCATATAAATCGGCAAAGCAGAAAAAAAACGAGTAGGGATGGGTCCGAAAAGTAACAGCACTGCCTGAGACAATGTGGATACAAACTGTGGTAATGGCACTACACTATTGAGAACTGCTCAGTTTCCCTTGTACTCATATGATTAATGGAAAGGTGACAGACAGAATTTAGTGCTGGAATAAATAGAGATAATGTGTAGAATGGCATTTAGAGGCTCAAAGACTTGCAGCATACCTGTAACATGCTCACCTAAAATAAATAAATATACACTGAGTGGCCAGATTATTATGACCACCTGACGTTTGTAGGCAAATTAGCTATAATTTCACGCTGAAGTTGCTAGAGGGACAGACCATTATAAATAGGGAAGCAGGTTGTTTACCACGACAGTAGAAGTGATTTTTTCTGAAGATATGGGTAAACAACGCGATTTAACAGCCTTTGAACGTGGGATGATTGTTGGCGCTCAAGCCATGGAGCAAGTATCAGCAAAACAGCAGAATCCGTTAAATGTTCAAGAGCAGCTGTTGTTAAAGTGTTTAAAGACTGGACTGTCAGCCGAAAAGCTGGGTCTAAACGTGCAAATTATGGCCGTCAGCGACTAGTCAATGTGAGGGCAGAACGGAGAGTGGCAAGACTGGTACAAGACAACAGAGGGGCAACAGTGCATCAAATTACTGCAGATCCTAATCAGGGGTCCTCTCAAAGGATCTCTGAACGCACTGTTCGCCAAACACTGCATCGTATGGGATATGGAAGCCGAAGGCCTGTTCGCACGCCTTTGTTGTCTGCAGTTAACAAGATAAAACGTCTCCAATCCGCACAGAAACACAAGGATTGGACAGTCGAGCATTGGAAAAAAGCCATGCAGTCCGATGAATCACGTTTTCAGTTACACTACAAGACAATGCGCCATGCCACGGTGCTCGTATTGTGCAGGAGTGGTTTCAAGAACATGAAGAGATCGGGTTTTTTGTTGGCTAGCAGAGTGACAAATCCAATGGACTTCACGCCATGGGTAGATATAAAAATGCAAAATTTATTTGACAAATTTGACAAAACATCTTGTTAAAACAAAAGAAAGCATTGGACGCAATAAAAAATATCGAAAGATCACCCCTGAAAAGAAACCTTCCAAAACCCCCCTTGAAGTCCCACAAATGAGGTTCAGATATACAGAAACAAAATATGTAAATACAGGTACAGTATTAGTATTAGGATGATGTAAGCGCATGCTTGTGTGCCAAACACAGTGTTTGGCTGGAGACGGCCACACAAGCATCAGTCTGTCTCGATATCTGCATTCGAGATCTTGCCTAAACCTTTTGCTGGTTTCTCTGCGAGTGTCTATAGACATCCCTGATGCGCTTACATCATCCTCTACCCTAGGACTACGTGCCTTTTCCATCTTTTTGCTGTTGACTTGTGCTGAGTACGCGTCGAGCCTCACCAGCATCGCGTGACTCCCCTGGTCATTACTACCCCCATACCCACCGTCTGTTCCACTACAAAGATTTTTTTCTTTGAATGATGTACTATTGATGATGTACTGGTTCTAATACTGTACCTGTATTTACATATTTTGTTTCTGTATATCTGAACCTCATTTGTGGGACTTCAAGGGGGGTTTTGGAAGGTTTCTTTTCAAGGGCGATCTCTCTTGATATTTTTTATTGCGTCCAATGCTTTCTTTTGTTTTAACAAGATGTTTAGTCAAATTTGTCAAATAAATTTTGCATTTTTATATCTACTCATGGCGTGAAGTCCATTGGATTTGTCACTCTGCTAGCCAACAAAAAGCCCCATCTCTTCTCCTCTCTTTTATGTTTTTCACAATCAATTAAGGGTGTCTCCCAGAGATTTGGGATCTGTGCACCATAAATTAACCTTGTCTCTTTAAGAACATGAGGGAGACTTTACCTTGCTTAGGTGGCCCCCACAATCACCAGATCTCAATCCAATTGAGCATTTGTGGGCCGAAGTTGAAAGAGCCATCAGGCAGCTGGTTCCACAACCATCAAATCTCACAGAACTGGACAGTGCTATTTGGATAGGTGGAAACTAGAAATATTATAGGAACGTATAAAATATGTATTTCTACATCTGGCACCCACTTTTTGGCTCCGGCCACCAGTGCAATTTCATCAGGAGAAGAGGAGATGTAAGCACATTTATTTTCGGAGCTGGAAATTGGGCCATCTGTTTGAGATTCTTCTTTAATCTTCACAGTGTGGCAAAGGCAAAGAGCACGCAGGAACAGCTCCTCCCTATCCTAGAATACAAGAGGAAACAATGACACTACTTTCAAAACTGAAAGGCAAAAGAAAGCTGCATTAGCATCCTGGTTTGATACTACACACTGCCATAGACAACTACTTTGGAGGATTATCTCAACCGCATAACACTTCATAATTCAGATAAGAATAGATAAAAATAATTTATCAATTATCAACTTTTACCTTTTTTTTTAAAATACATGACTTATAGTATCAAGCATATATGCATCTCTAAAGAGTAACAATACTACTGCATGAGGCTTAAGGCTGTGGTACGGGGTTCCTGGGGCAAGAACCTATGGATTCTTACAGCAGGATTTCCAGCTGGGACTCTACAGATGTGGCCACTGTGCCTGTTCCATATGTATTTAATATAAAATCACATGATGTATAAAATGTGTAAGCTGTGTGTCCAGGGAATCATCTATCCTGAACTGCAGGTAATAGCTCAATGTATGATTACATGAGGACAGCCAGTGACAGATGCGGACGCCGTCACCCGGTCATTCACTTGAACAAGCACAGCGACCGGATCTTTATGAGCACGCACCTGGGATGCCTGTCACATGAATTCATAGGTTCTTGCTGCAGGAATCCCGAGCTGCAGCTTTAAGCACCATGTGACTGGGGCTTTAGTCCATGCAGTAAAAGTTATCCTTACAACTTGCATGTCTGGAAAAGCATGTTGTTTCACATTTACTTATTTTTGCTGTAGATGTACTGCCTTGGGCACTATCATTACATATAAAATGGGGGGATGTAAAGACTTAAGAGTGTGCGCTTTCTGTGCTTTACTAGAATTACACATATATCCTAAAAAGTACCTCATAAAATAGTAAACAGTAATCTGCTTTGATTAATAAATATTACAATTTTTAGAGAACCAGTTTGAAAAAAATATCTCATTACAAACTGCCTGATTTTTAGTTCGCTGAAAGTGTAGTTCAGCTTTTGCAGTCTAATTGGGATAACACCTAATTCATATTTGTTACATGCTCTCATTTACATAGTATAACTTAAAAATATATATTTAAAACACTTCTGCTTACATTTTAGGTGTTTTTTACTGATAATTCCTGCCTAGTTTTGTGGTATAAAACGTTAAGGAGGGGACTGTGGGAAGTTAAGTTTACTAATTGACCCTGTCTGTGCTGTACTGGCAGATTTCATGATCAGCAATCAGTCCACTACATAAGAGAATGCAGCATAATGAACCTTCATGACACACAGGTTGAATTCTGACATCCTGTTGTGAGCTATGTTTAACCAATCTGAGATTTTTTTATTTTACCCAGTGCTACTCTAGAGCCATCACATGCCAGCTAAGAAACCAAAACGGCAATAGCATTGCAGTTATTACCCGAGAAGCTGCCCCAAAGGTTCCCACAGGGCCGTCTGTCACGTCTGCAGATTCCTTGTATTTGTAGCCATCGATGCAACATTCAATAAATTCCATAGAGTTTTCTGTGAGAGTCCCAGTTTTATCTGTAAAAACATACTCCACCTATAAAACAAGATGAAGAACAACATCAGTCCTTGATGACTGCACTTTTTATGGATGTGCTGTACATACTGATTAAGGACTGAGGTTCCAAGGCTTTGCCTGCTTATATGCGATAGATGATAATAAGTCACTGGAAAAGAACACCACAAGATCATAAAAAATATTGAACACACACACACACACACACACTACTCCATTTAATAGGATAACCAACACCTTTTATAATTTACTAAAGAGAAGACTATTCACAGAATCAAAAAGATTTCATCCAAACCAATGACGCAAACAGTTATTTGACTTCCCAAGGACTGAAGAGCAATTCAGTTCCCGGGCAATAAAAGAGTAAAAAGGAACATGGAATTTACAGAAACACAGATTTGTGTTCCCTTGAAAAACAGGCATGAGTATATGGAAAACCGGACTCTGTGCTATGTAAATATTACAATGTATATATTTCAACTTCTCAATGACAACATCCTTTAAGTTTGGTAAATCATGTTGACTGGAGTTAAACAATGCTCATCTTGCATCATCCCCAGAGCATAGAAATCAACAAATTTATATGAGTAAGGCACGGTGTAGGGCTGCAACTAATGATTACTTTCATAATCGATTAGTTAGACAACTTTTTTCTCTAGTGGACTCACCCAGATCTTGATGTGAGACAGATTGCTCATCCAGAGGCAGTTTTCGTGCTGAACTGCCTGTTTGTGGGAAGCCGTTTAGATGAGGAGGGCCGTTTTGTGAGGTAGATGGAGTTTTGGCGCCATCTTGTGTTCCCTCCTGAGGTACTGCGGGGAAGAAAGCAGTGAGTTTCTTTGGGGAATGACGATTTTTTCCCCTCTTAGGCATGTCGGCAGGCGGATGAGGCAGTGTTGTGACAGGTAAGTGTCACACAGGGTCCTTCACTGTTGCTGTAATTGTCGCTGATCGGGCTGGAGTGGCAGAGCTCCGTTATTAAGCAGCCATCTCGATCGCCGGCCGGACACGCCCCTCAACTTTTTTCTCATTAAATCGGAATAAAAAATTAAATACCATCTTTTATTTAAAATAAAATACACAAATGGTGTGTTATAAACAAAGTTTACTTCAGAATAAAACTGCATGCACACGTTTTGCAATCGCACTGTACTGAAATGTACAGCATTGCAGTATGACGCATTCCAGTGCAGGGGATTACACTGCGGGCGGTAGGCGCGTTTGGGGCGCCATTGACACGCAACAGATCTCGCAATAGCAGGCTGGCTATGGCACCTGCCCACTGTCCCTCCAATGAGCAGTGGAGGGACCTGAAGGAAAAAATTATCCTTCAGATCCTCCTCAGCTCATCGACAGTAGACAGTGGACATGCTATTGGCTACTGCAATTTAAATGCTGCTCCAGCAAATTACTGCTGCTGGATGGGAGACTTGGCGCCGACTTTCTAGTGCTGGCAGAAAAGGGGGCATGGGGGAATCAGCAGGAGCATGGGTGGACCAGCATTGGCACGGGGGAGCAGCGGGACAATGCAGAAGCACAGCAGTCTCTCCCCCCTGCTGGGCACTGGCTGCAGAACTCTGTGTTCCCTTTGATCCCTGCTGCCTCTGCCAATACAGGCAGAAAGAGCAGCGGGGATTGACGGGGAAACAGACCGCAGTGATTCCCAGTGGGGAGAAGAACAGTGCAGCGACGGAGGGATTGAACTAATAAAATCAACAAATCGAAAATGAGAATCGTTGACAACTATTCTCATTATCGAGTGTCATTGATTAGTTGTTTACTGCTTAATCAACCCCCTTTTACAAACTGGTGCTGGAACCTTAACTTATCAGATTTATGGTCAGTGTTGACAGGCTGTTATCCTGCTTCTCTCCCTCATACAAGTCTATGGGAAAAGCAGCTGAAACAGATCAAATAGAGGACAACTACACCTGCAATAAATTTTGAATTAACTCAGAAGCGTCCCAAAATGATGTCGAAAGCATGTTTGTCTATCGGAACACGCCCTTACAAATGTACACATGGAGGCTGGGGTAACAGTATTTTTGTCTGTTTGAAATATATGTAAAAACAGAAAAAAAAAGACAATGGTGATCCTAAAGGTATCTTAAAAATGAAATGCTAATTTTATTTCTGTTTTTGATATTCACCCCCTTTATTCACATATTAGGATACTTGCCAAATAGATGTTATTAAAAAAATGTCATGCCTGTCAATAGGGTGTACTTGTACAGCAACCATAAAATGCACATGCTTAGACATGCTGGTTAAAGGCACATCTGTGTAAATTGGGACTGTGTAAGCCAGGCATGCCTAAACTATTCTCAGGGAGATACCAAGTTCATATTACAGTTTTAAGTGACTGTATAATTTTTACAACGTTTCATGAGATAAGACAAGTTATATAATACTCGAGTAAGAGAAAAGCTAGGAATACATTTACAGGTAAAACAAAAAAAAATGGTTTAATGGCTTATTTTTTAAAAAATTACTGTAGTATCCCGTGCTATATACAGTGATAGCCGTGACCTTCCTGCTTCCCCTCTGCACATAGGGAGTTTCTCAGTCAACATAACCGACATTCAGAGAACACATTTTATTCTTTTTAATGAATACAAGGCACTCTTTGATTGGAGAGGAGGCTGTCACAATCCCCACCTCGTCCAATCAGAGAACACCTTGTATTCATTGAAAAAAATACAAGTTGTGAAAAAAGGATGACAAAGAAAATGTTACAATGAGAAACGTTCATCAATTTTTGATGAATAGTTAAAAAGGTAGAAATAATTTTATTTTGCCATAAAGAAACCAATTCTATCCAGCAGTTGGAACATAAAATTATAGGGACTTGCCTGGTGACTAGAGGGTAGAAGCTTTTCAGAATATGTTACAGCAATTTTTTTTTACCTGCCCAAGTTCCTCATTTAGGTCAGATGTGTTGACCAAAGCTCCCTCCTTCATTTCCTCATCATACATCTCCTTATCCCATGCAATAAAGAAAGATCCCAAGAATTTCTGCATTTCTACAGTAACATACATTGAAACAGGGATGATGAAGTTGAATAGGACCATGAAGGACAAGAAATCTGTGAATATCTTCAGGAGCTAAAAACAAACAGAACATTTGCATCACAAAATCAGAAAGAACAAAAGTTGTCCACACTGTTACATTTACAGCATCATTTGTATCATACAAACTGCATGAGCCCCGATACGTAATTCCTAGAAGTAGATGAAAGTCACATTCATTATGTCTTTGCTCGAAGGACTATTCAAACCTGAGCTGTTTGCTTTTGTATAGACTGCAGTCTAAAAATTACACATGGAACAGATATGCGCTCACTGTCATCAGCCATTCCATATCGCCAATTAGACACACAAAGGTTTTTATGCTTATCTGCCTGTAACCTATGTAACACAACAAACTTGTTATATTCTGCTTAAATGTTTACCCAAAGAAGATAACTCTTGGTAAACCAAACTATCTGTTGGTGTCTTGGAGTTATAGACCCGGGTGGTAGATTACCTGATACAAGGCCTTTTACAAGTGTCACAGTCTAGCTGCCAAAGACTCAACTGATCAATTTACTTTACATTATGGACAATCCACATGTAGCACAACATTGGAACATAGTTTCATGATGACCTTAGCAAGCAAGCGCATAAAAGAAAATCTTGAGAACATAACAGTTATTCATTCAGGGCGATTATTCTTGTTGAAGACCACCCAAAACTGTCATATCAACTTTGGGGGAATATGTCCTTTAAAAGTAAAGTTGTTAAATGAAAAAAACACAACAAAAGGAAAAAACAGCCCGCAGAACATGTCATGCCTTGTAAAATTTCCCACATAAGGTTTACAAGCCTGAGCCACTATTTTAGGTAGTTAGTCGGGGATGGTAATATTGTGTCTCATTTGCATGTTTTATCGCCCCTTTGCTGTCCATTGAAGGGGGCCCTACAGACAGCTGAATAGATCACTGGTGTAAGGCCTCTGGCTCCGCCAAGTGGTGCTGGCCCTGGAGCTTAGCAGACAGAAGGTCTATCAGCCACAGCTCAAGGAACACCTTGCAACCTCTGGAGGAACCCTAGAGCCTGGTTATAAATGGCTGGTCTAAGCTGTTGCTGTTAGCACATATTGCAGCAGCATGTTAGTGTGCCCCAAAAGGTGGCTGCAGCCTCTTCCTGGTAGAAAAGGATAAAGTATCTCTACAACACAATGTAGGGATACTTTATCCCTCTATTGCATATGTAGGATTGAGGTAAAGGATAAGGTATCCAGGACAAGGGACCTATCAGAAACATTGGGCAACTAAAAGTATGTCAGGCATGTGTATTCTTCATCAAATAGCAACTTAATGTTAGAAGGCTGCAGGGTGTGCAGGACTGCAGAGATTCTGCAGTTACACATAGTTGCTGACAGCCAACGCCATCAATTCATTCATTAATTGCACACATTTAATTAATCCATAGATTCACTGGAATGTTGATGTATTGAACAGTTATTCCTAAAAAAATTGACTATTGCAAACTGCACCTGCTCTGTACGTTACATAAAATGTACTGCCTTAAACACATATCCAATAATCGCATTGCATCTATATATAACTTTAATAGATTATAAGTCAACAAGGACTGCAAAATTAAAAACAGACAGATTTCTATTATAAAAAAAACTAAAATAACCACCACTTAATGCAGAAATCTGCTTTACAAAGGTATGCAGGAACAAACACCCAAATCTAAACCCACTGATTTAACAGTTTCCCAAAACAGTCACATTCAAGGCATGTCTCTGGTGAGAACTGTCACAGTTGCTTATATTAGCTCTCAGTGGAACCTATAAGATCTCAAATGGCTGGTGTCCAGTGGCGTAACAACCGGGGGTGCGGGGGGGTCACTTGCCCCGGGCGCAGTGGTGACGTCACTGCTGGTGTCATAGCTGATCACATGGGCAGTACCACGGCAACTATATATCTAAATAGAGGGTAAAATGGCACTGTCCTCAGCTCCTAGAAGACCATGATATTGGATACTATAGCCTGCTACATATTTCTACCTTATGACTGACACAAATAATATACCTTGAATGACTCTTTCTCCTTGCGCGTTTTCTCATTGTACCATGGCTCATCATTAGCAGGATTACTCTGCCATACGTACTTTAGAGTAGTACAGATTGATGCTTTGGAGAGCAGGATTAACAAATAGACTATTAAAAAAGCATTTATTGACCTGAAACAAAGAGAAAGAGTAAAAAAATAAACAAGTCAGAAATAAATAAAAAAACACCAAAATTACACCATGATCTATACTGAAATCTATTCTCCAATGAAGACCTTGTCTAAAGATTGCCATCAGAAAGTCCGTGCCCTAAAGCATAATTTCATTTTCTTGTGTACTGCTTGCTGTTGTATATTTGGACAGTATATTTGGACAGTCTGAAGATGGGCTGGTATGATGGTTTTGTGTGCCCATGCACATTTTTGATACTTTCCACTGGCATATGAATGGTTTCAGTGTATGTGGCCAAAGTTTAAAAAAAAAAATTACACCACATTGACTTAAGAACTCCGGGCATACTAATTCTTAACGCTTGCAGTGGGGCTACCCCTGCACTGCAAGGGTTAAGTGCTCGTTTTTATCTAAAAGACGAAAATGGGGGGGAAAAAAAACGGAATACTTACCGAAACCTCAGAGTCGGCTGGCTGCTACTCTGTTTCCTGCCGCCTCGCTCCCCTTCTGCTCCAGCAATCTAAGGTCCTTCACTTGCTGGAGCAGAGGAGGATGTTACTAAAGTTTGAAGTGGGATACAATGAACATAAACATCCAATCATGCACAGGGAAAACAAAAGGTTTCTCTTGTCCATGACAGAATGTTTGAAGTGCGCACAAAATGACTAACGTTTCAGTGAATTGGGCCCAGCGGTAAGTCTGTTTCTGTATTTTGGTTGTGATAACACCTAAAGCACAACGGTGTAAAGACATATTACACAGCAGGGTTGGGAGGATCTTAAATGACAGGGCAGGTAAATGTGTTACAGGTATGCATTTACACCAGTCTGGATGGAGCACTGGTGTCACAAGGGGGGTGCGGCACACACCCGAGTGACACCATTGGAGGGGTCAAGCAAAACAAACAACTTTTTGCTGTTGTACCATTGGAGGGGTGACACACCAAAATGACTGACAGTCATTTTAGTGTCACCCCCTCTAAAAAGTCGGGCACTCAGTCATGGACCGAGAGCCCGACAGTTCTGGGAAAGAGGAGGGGACCCGGCGGGATACCTTATCCCGCCGGGTGACTGTCCCCTCCTCTCACTGCCAGCGTCCATTACCAAGATAGCCACCGACAAGTATCAATATGATCATCGCGCACGCGCGTGGCGACACCCGGTCTCGGGATGCCCCTGGGATGGAGTATCCCTAATTCCAGCCAAAATATTTTATTTTGTACAATGGGTGAGGGTTAGAACCTTTGAAAAGTTTTGATTTTCAATTGTGTCACTAATAGGGGGATTTTGCCCCAACTCCAATTCGGAGAGAAAGTGGGAGGAAATGTCTGCAATTGGGACACATACAAAATTTTAGTAGAGTGAGGAAGTGTTACAACTCTGACAATGTTAGTATTGCTTTCCTGTCCTGAAAACAAACACTCACCTTATTTCTTACACAGGGCAAAATCCCCCAATGGGGGTCTGGGGTCACAGGAAAAATAAAAGACTATTTTAACTCTTTCCCACTTTACAAAAATTGTCAGGAGTTATAATGTTTAAGAAATAGTTTTTAACTGACCATTACCAGGTTCCTCTGACACAATACAACATTAATCTTAGCTTTCACAGTATTACATTGACATGATGTGAAATACAGCAAGATAACCGAGGACTGCATTATCATGATACACTTTTATTAGCTGTCCTTGAACTAAACAAAACTGAGAAGACGAAGTTTATTTTTTGAAAAGTTCAAGAGCTGAGTAACCTTGGCCTTGAAAGTGTACAGAGGAAGTGTTACTTCTAGCTTAAATATCCAAACATACAAACAAAATGTCAGCAGTACACATGGGAACAAATTATATAAACTACCGCAAAGTGCTGTTTATAAAGCCGGACCTACTTTTCAACAGCTGATCGTTTCTGAGATTTTCCTTGATAATTCAAAGCCATTTTGCTCTCCATGCCAGTATATACAGCAACACCTGCAAAAAACATAAAAAGGCATATTTATATTTTATTGAATGAGCCAGAAATTCAAAAATACATATTTTACCAAAATCACAAAACACATTTCAGTTCAGTCAGGCTGGTGAAAGAATAAAAGTCATAGGCTGGCATTATACTATGTGACACCGTTAAACACTGCTTGAATTCAGAGCATCATCTGAGAATAACTGCACAGTATTTTAAATGGAGCTGCCAATTCTCCAGCATGCACCACACTGATAATCACACAATTGAGGTCAAATGAAAGCAGGCAACAACTGATCCCTGTGCCTACTCATCTATGGCAGCATACGAACAAAGCTTCTATCTTCAATAATCTAAGGGTTGTCCACATATTGCAATATTTTTCAGGTAAATTGAAACTGATTTTTTTTTTTAGACAATTGCAGGTTTCAGTTAACCGGAAATAGGGGAATGTCAGGAGTGTCTGTGTACTGTATAGAAATGTATGCTTATGAGGTGACACAAGATATACATTGGGGAAGCAAAACAAGCTGGTAACGAATTGATGAGTGCGTTTGCCATTTGTTTTGCTTGACTGATTTAGTGCAGTGACGCATGAGGGGCCTCAGCTGCTGTTGTGATGTGCGGGATCCCTTATGCATCCCTGTGCCTTTAAGGGAGGTTGGGCTTCCTTCTGACAAACATGCACCCAATTTGATCTTTTGCCACATGTGCTCCAAGATGGATACTCTCATAGTGTAGAGTTAGGACCGCAATATATAGAGGTGCCTTGACGCGACTGTGCGGCTTTCACATTTTCTGTAGAAGACGTGTATCTAAACCTCTGTTTTTAACCTTAGCGGTGAGACAAGTTTTTTTGCATGCTGGCTGGTGAGGGTGCTGGGAAACGTTTTTCTGTTGATAAATTGGGGAAGGGTTCAGTGATGCACACATCTGCTCAAATATCAACAAAAGAGTAAGTCTTACTACAACATGCTCCGTTAATGTTAATTCACATTTACCATAAACTGTCTGCGTATTTTTCAAAGTTGCCCCTTTTAGTAGCAAGTTATCTGGTCCCAAAGACCTAAAAAAGAAAAATGTTAACATCGTGAAGAAAAAAAGCCAAATCCTTTTAAATTCTAGGGACTGACAAGGACGTCATTGTGGTTCTACAGAGACTAGATGAGCACTACCTTGCTATAACTTCCTGGTTATTGTATATGTTCATTCTTCCAACAAATCTGAAATAAAAAAAATATGAAAAATTCAACAAGGTTACAACTGCGAATATTTCGATTGAAAAATCGCTGAACATCAAGTGTTGGATAGTTTAATAATTTTAAACATTTATAATGATCTGTGTTTTAGGACATAGGATAATCTGGATAATATTGGGTGCTAAAGCGGGAACTCCAATTTTGTAAATATCACTCGAACAGCTAGATGAAATTTACCAGGAAAAGGGGCAGAACGGACATCAACAGTATAGCAGTATTCATACACCTGTGAACAAGCTGAAGATAGTAGACACAAAAAAACTGCAGGTGGTGTCATCTTTAGGCTATGAAGCATGGTAAAGTTGTATGAATTACAAGACAGAATTCATAAAATAAACATGGCAGGTAAAATAGCTTACATGCCAAGTACGTAGTATAACTAGGTATTAAGCTGTTGTGGCGGAGTTCTGCTTTTTTTGTCGAGCAAATTATTCTCTATACATTAGATCACTGTACTTGGTCAGCCCAGAAAGGAAAACACTGTTCAAGAAGAACAATAAGGAGCTGGATGATTAGGTGAAAACATACACAGTGAAAACTGATGCCGTCAACCCCTATAAAGAAATGGAAACTGCCTGCTCTGGGAGGTGCAGAGAGACGGCTCTTGTTCCCGGCTCAAAACCAAAGAAACACAAAGAAGAAGTAACCATCACACTTAACCAGGTCAAAGCCCATATACAATGGTTTAATGTAAAACTTTCCCAAGCATGGGCAAATCAAGCAGAGCATATGATGGAAAAAATACATATCAGCAGAGCTTATGCTCAGTGTAAAGCACATACTAAAATGACCACCGGATCCAGAGATAGAGGAAGCTGAAACAATATGCAAACACTAATGTTTTTGCATGAAGGCTGAGCTTGGTCCTGCCAACTTACACCTCCTGAGCATTCCTATTTTTCAAGGAGAATGCTTTATCCCAATATTAGACCAATGGAGAGGCTCAGGAGCAGAGAGGGGGTGTGGAAATGCATGCATTCTACAGGAGTCCGATGACGTTGATGTCCGTGACGTCACCGGACTCCTCCCCCCTTCCCTTCGTTAGCCGACGGAGCATGGACGGGCGGAGGCGGAGTAGGTGCCGACACGGGAAATGACTCACCGAGTCATTACATTTAAGAAAAACTGTAGGCCGATTTTCTCACCTTCCACCGTCACTTGCTATTTTGCAAATCCTTTGGGTATCAGCCTAGTACCATCATATGATGCTAACATTCTAGTAGGTTCAGCTGTCACAGTATTAGACAGTGAATTATCAAGTGCAACTGGTAGTGCATTAATCCCTGCTCCAGTATCAAGCCTGAACCTAACTTCAGTCTTTTCAGTCTTAAAAGGAACATTTCCTTAGAGTAGTGGTTCTCAACCTGTGGGTCGGGACCCCCTCGGGGGTCAAATGACAATTTGCCAGGGGTCGCCTAGTGGCGCTCGGCCGCCGGGAGAGAAATTACAGCAGCAGAGGGCGGGTGCAATATGTATGTATTCAAGCAAAATAATATGTTAAATACACCTCTAGCTATGCATTCCATTTTTCCGGCCTGCAGCTGCAGAGATCGGGAAATGTCTCAGTGCCTGTGATTGGCGCTGTCAGCTTCCTGGCGGGCTCGGCACGTGGAGCTGCGAACACGCCCAAGCCCATCCCCATCAGTGACAGTACTGCGGAGTATGTACATCATACACTATATATCCACACACTTTAAATCCAATTCTTCTAGTTCCAGCTGCAGTCCGGTCCTGTCTTTGCCTATAGCAGTGGTTCTCAACCTGTGGGTCGCTGTGCAAGGTGAGAGTCCTACTCAGCTCTCTCCTAGCGCAGCAGTGTCAGTTCTCCTGCCACACCTCCAGATGTCGCTGCAGCAGCCGCGTCATCCCTACATTTTACCTTTGGGGGTCACCACAACTTGGCAAATGTTACCAAGGGGTCCCGGCCCTAGAAAGGTTGAGAACCACTGCCTTGGAGGAACTCATTTTGATAATGCTAGGTGCTTGGCAGTCATTATCCCAGCATGCAGCTAAGGACTTTACTCTGACTGATAGAGTTCATAAGGATTCAGGGTCAGTGGTCAGCATAACAGTCTGGTATCTAGCATTTTCAAAAGGAATTCAGCAATGGCAACACCATATTTCTCATATATAAATAACAAAAATCTCATATTACCTTTACCATGTTAATGTAATTTTAGAAGTTATATTCAAGCTTTTCAACTCATTAAAATAATACATGATGATGACATAAAGGTCCATGTACAGGTGCTACCTACTAAAGTGGGGACAGCGGTCCCTGTCTGTGAATTGCTGCGCTGGGAGGAGGAGTCCGGTGACGTCGATGTCCGTGACGGCTAACTAAGGGAAGGGGGAAGGAGTCCTGTGACGTCACCAGACTCCTCCCCCCTTCCCTTCGTTAGCCGGCAGAGCCACTTGGGCTGGTGAGTACTTGTTCTGCACGAGCGCCAGCAAAGGCATTGGCCTACACACATACAGCACAGCAATGAAGTAATAAAATGAACTAGGATCACACTAATCCAGCACGTTATTATTCTGAGTTGCCCCACTCAAGCGGCGACCATATTGAGTGGGGCACGTGAGATTAATAATGTGCTGGATTAGTGTGATCCTAGTTCATTTTATTACTTCATTGCTGTGCTGTATGTGTATAGGCCAATGTAGTTGGATCTTTATGTGCGTTATAATTAATCGAAATTAATCGATTAACATTTTTTTTGAATAATCGAACACAAAAATGTTAAGCATTACCAGCCCTAGAGATATTTGTTAATTATCCACATAAAAGAGATCTGCATTTTACACTCTTTAAATCTCCCCGAATAAATAACTGTTGAGATCTTAGAAGCACCGGAAGTGAATTGTTTCTAATAAGCTGGCTGACTCACACTTGCATTTTGAGAAGGAGCAGCAAAGCGCAAACCAATGTAGCACTGAAAAGCATGAACCATAAGCTGTACTGCATGTAAATCAGAAATCGTGTCTGCCACGTTGTACATACAGGAGGGAGATCTCCTTCTGATGTACTCAAGTTGGACAGAAAGATAAAAGAACAATATTCCAATTGAAATCAAAGCCAAAACTTACTTGGGAGGAAAGGAGGCCTCAATACTACCTTTTCTTTCTGTAAAACCAAAAAGGGTTTCTTGCAGGATAAAACTGTCAGCTTAAATACACTTCTTGCGGAGGTAAGAGCCACAAGCTTGCCTAGTAAGGACGTGTGAGACCCTTTTACAGACAGTACATCTGCAGCAGATGGCACACAGGCCGCTACAGCTGCAGAAAAGTGAGCCAAAGATTGCAAAGGTGAACTACACTTATAGCCTGCGTTCAATCAGCAATCAAAGTTACAAGTTGGCCCATAAAATCAAGAATAGCTGCAGATAACTCTTCTCTGGATAAAGGTGCCCATACACCTGCCGATTATCGTACGATAATCGTGGGTGATCCTGCGATCGTACGATAATCGGCAGGTGTATGGGCAGCGTGCGACCGCTTCTACTGTAAGGTTGCACGACTTTCGTCTTCCAAACACGCTGGAAAACATACCTAAAATCGTACGATTTTCGGCGGGTTGGTGGCGTGCTCGGAAGACGAATGCCGCACGGGCCGGTGTGCACAAGCGCACACTGCCCGCTCAGCATTGCAATCATCGGAAGCCCTCCCCTCAGCGGGGAGGGCTTGCGATGATTGCAAGTACGATCTGCCTGTCCAAGAGGGCAGATCGTACAAAAATTTTAATCACTTTACAACCATCGCACAACGAAAGTCGTGTGATGGTTGTAAGGTGTATGGGCAGTTTAAGGCAGAGGACAGTGCAACACTTGACAGGGCTATAGAACACTACAAGGACCAAAGCAGGGGACAGCAGTGTTCTATCAAAGTTTGTGACTAGGTTGGAATGTGTGATCGGTCACGTGGTCACACATTTTAACGTAATCCCGCCCAGTTTTTCAGCGGTGGAATATGTGACCGGCAAAAGGTGAAAAGTGCTTTCTCAGCTGCACCAGGGCAGATCAGCATCGTAGATCGCATGTGCAGGAGAACTGATCTGCCCTGGAACAGCTGATTGGTCCTGAAATGTCACTTCTGACTTTGTGGAATGTGAGATTGCACTCACAAAGTCACATTTCAGCTGTTCCAGGGCAGATTGGTTCCCTTGCACATAGGATCTGCAATGCCGATCTGCCCTGGAACAACTGACAAAGCGCTGGAAATTTTCACCTTTTGCCGGTCACATATTCCATCGCCGAAAACTGGGCGGGGTTACGTTAAAATGTGTGACCGGTCACACATTATAACGTAGTCACAAACTTTGATAGAACAGCAGTCTAGGCAATCTGTGTTAAGTCCCAGAATTGTTAGCGGATTGTGAGAGGGAGCGATCCAATGCTGTGGGACTGCTCTCCTTGTATTTGGGATCTGACATGTTGTACTACTTAACAGGAATAACGCAATAGAACACACCCAGGTAAAACCATGGTTTATTCACAACCAGCTGCTTAAGCAGGAGATGTTTATTGGCGGGAGCTGATCAGGTCATTAAAAGCCACAGCAAGGACTAACCAAGGTGTTAATCGTGTGTCTCTTGCAGTTAGGAGCAATGGCTGGAAGAAGCTACCTTACCCCGATGGAAATAAAGCTGGAACAGAGTGATGAGTGCGCGCACTCGAAATTTGGTAAAATTGCTACATAAAAAACAATAGAAGTTGATTTGTTTACATGCCGAAGTAATTATGTAAAATTAGGATTTTTTTTTTTTCCTTTAGCGAGCAGCAAACGGTGTTCTTGACCTCCAAACAACAATTCAACCCATTTCTACAGATAAGATTACTGCAGAAAAAAAGCCATTCAAGTCTGTAAGCCCCCACACTTGAAAGTATCAAACAAATCAGAAGATTGTATAAAAAACAAAATCCAAGAAATGGTTTAATTGAATGCTCTAGTTATTTTAATTAAGACAGGATTCTTAATTAAATGCTTTAAGCTACAGTCTAGAAATTTCTTTAGAAAAGACTGCGGATGACTAATGATTACAGGAGGAACTATAGAGAAAAAGAGAAATTAAGGCTCTTCCTGATAAAATGAAGCAGTAATATTGTGAGCGATACATGGGCCATCATATCATATTTGTGATCCTTTTAAAGAGGATTATTAAAGTTTTCTTTAAATCTGACTGTGATCTGCTTACAGTAGCATTAAAGTGTATGTGACAAAACAAAAATCATAAGCAGTACATTTCTGCAATACATGCGCACTAGGGATGCACCAATACTGGTATTTCAGTATCGAGTACAAGTACTGATATTTTCTTTTTTCCCCCGGTACTTGCCGATAACGAATACCGATACCGGAAGTCCCATTAAGGAAGCCAGGCAGCATGTGATCACTCGTCACCTGGCTTCCTGATTAGCAGAGAAGCTGTCCCCATGCTTCTCGTCATTAGGTGACGAGAAAGCAAGCATAGAGCCGGCTTTCTGGCCAATAAGGAAGCCAGGCTTCGTGTAATCACACGGCGCCCGGCTTCCTGATTGGCTGGGAGATTGGCTCCATGCTCCCTCGTCACAAGGTGTTATTACACAGCGCCCGGCTTCCTGACCAATCAGGAAGCAGGGCAGCGAGTCATTACACGAGTCATTACACGCTGCCCGGCTTCCTGATACCGGAAGTATCGGGCTAGGCATCTGACCATTTGGGCGAGTACGAGTATTAACCCGAATACATGGCATCGGCACCAATACTAGTATCGGTGCATCCCTAATGCGCACATCTCCATTCTATTCCTCAAAAATCCTGCAAGTACAGAAAAAATAAAAATACCTATTACTCGGTCAGAAATCCACTCAGCTCTTAAAGAGGAACCACACCTCTGCATACTTTTCTTCCCGCCGCCCCTCTCCTGTGTTGCCATTTTTGAAGTACTTGGACATGTGCAGTTATGTGCACAGATGCAGATGGTTTCTGGTATCTGGGACTCTCCGGAGACCTGCAGCATCTGTGCACATGTGCGCAAATCTCCCACGTGTGCGCAGGTCTCTGCCAGATCCCAGGGGGCATTGTGGCATCCCTTTGAAATTCTCGCCTACGTGAGGAATCAGGAAGCTCTGCAGTGCAAAACAGAAAAGGTACCTTTTATATTATAAGAAAACGTTTTCTAAATCTGAGGAGAGAGGAACCGGATGATGAAATACTTTTTTAAATGGACTGACGTGGGCTGATAACACAAAACATTTTTATTAAAGTAGTGGTTTAATCCCTCCCAGTGTCTTTTGTTAAACTACTCAAATTGCTCCCACTCTCAGATCTCTACAACATAAAGGCTAAATACTATATATAGTCCTAGACAAGAACTGGAAGGGCTAAAAAGCCTCATTAAAAGGAAAAGTATAGGGAGAGTAAAATGTACTATTCCCAATACTTAGGCTCTATAGATTGAGAACTGAGCAATCACAAACCGCTGATTTCTCAGATCATAGTCTTCTCCCTGCAGAAAGCGATGACTGCCATTCACCACTGCATGCTGGGAATTCCTCCCTTCTCTATTGATCCAGCACTGACTGGAGGGACAGGCAAGGGAGGGGGCAGGCACTGCTGGCTCTGACTCTAGAGAGGCATAGCCAGCTGTCAATCAGGCAGGGGGGTGGATTCGACAATATTGTCAGGAACCTTCCACGTCTGCAACACGACTCTGCACTATCAACATATAGAAGGAAATAGCCCACTATATGTGGAGTTCGGGTCACAGGAATACATTAATAAATGTACTCCTGTGACCCAAAAGAGAACTAAAGCAAATTAAAGTTTGGCTTTAGTTCTCTTTTAAGATAACAGAGGAAGTTTGCAGGGTATACAGACAGATTTAAATTCCTGACAAGGTCAACAGGTTTTCTTTTTCCACTAATCAGATATAACAAAGGACTTCCAATGACAAGACCAACTAAATTCAATTAAAAGAAATTCATGGTTAGGGTTTACATATAAAAACTGCAATATAGAGGCTAGTAACATGGACGTTCTTCTGAAAATGCTACCTCTTGCCTCAATTCACCCAATTCAAACAAGTAGCTAATGCAGTAAGAGGAAATTCAAAACTCCTGCATATTTCATTTGGGTCAATGACTACAAGTACTGAATCTATGTGATCGGTCTAATAGCCAAGCAGTCAGCGTTTTCAAAAGGAGAGTTTGTTAATGGCAGTCTATTAACATTATCAGCACCGGTTCCATTTCAAGCAAAGCTGGGCAATTCACACTGAGCCTGATATAAGACTGAGTGAGCATGGGTTACCTTAAATGAAAGCTGAACCTGTGTTCAAAATATTAGCTGCTATATGAAAAGGAAAATTGTATACATTAACACACGGTGAGGAGTGTTTACCTAAGCTAATCTTCACTAGAACAAAAAAAAAATACTTGAAACATAATAATTCTCACTTAATCAAAAATGTGGCTCTTTGGCTAAATGCCCAGGGCCTATGTTTTCATTCAAGCAAAGTTGTAGTTCACAGGGACATCCTAATGCTTAAAACTGCCAGGCAACTGGTTGTTCTGGGAACAGCAGTTCCTGACCCAGCAAACGTGAAAACCAGCACTTCTATCCACTAAACTATTCCTGCTCTATGAGACACTGAGTGCAGAAAAAAAAGGGAAAGCACATGAGCGAGAGCAAGGAGGAAATTAAAAAGGGATGCTGCATAGAATAGAAAAATAGAATGCACATTGAAGTAACCCTGAAGGATAAGCACACTTGTGTAACAGCCACACAGCAAGCCCTTGTAAGATCTCATATATTGGCATTGTTGGGAATACTCAGCATGTTGTTGCATGGCTTGCGCCCAAGGCCACCACATTCTGCACTTCATTTTGTACAAAGTGTGAGCAGAGAGCCTAGCACATTAGCTGGTTTTAGGACTAGACCTGCTGAGAATACCCACAGAGAATAACAACAATCCTTTAGTACAAGTGCAAAGAGGAAGGGGTTTGCCACTGTTCTATAGGGCAGTTCCTCTTCATCACCTGGGTGCATGCACTGGGCTATCTGCTCAGATCCTAGGCAGGATGAGGTACAGTCTGATGTGGGCAGGCTGTACAGTCATCAGCTGATACTGTAATTACCAACACCAAGTTGTGTTGGTTGCTATGGCCATGGAGAAGGGATCTGAAGAGGGTATTACAAAATGCTGGAAGCAAACAATGTCCCGCAAAAATATTTAAAGCTGCTCAAAGAGAATCAAAGCAAAAGCAGTAACTAAATAAAACAGGTCTGCTCATTGTCTCATGATTAAAAAGTGGTAAACTACTAATGCCATGCAAATATCTCCTTAATGGTAAGAAGCCAATCTAATGCTTTTACTCTGCGTGTCCCATTAGGGAGATTCCCATTCACTGGCTGTCCTGGAGGCACCACAGAAGTTAGAGGTAATCTCTACAAAGTGTCAGAAAATCCACTGGGAAAAAACTGGAATAGATGTTCCTAACTGTAAAAATTCCCCTCACTTCCTGTTGCTGTGACAACTATAAAAATCTGGATTGTCCATAGGTTTATATTCTGACCTTTGTGACAAAGGCCTGCAGGACAAACAGAGATGGTGAATTTCCCCTCAGCAAGTACACCTGGCAGAGGTTTTGTCCGTACCATACCTATCCAAAGCCGAAATGAAAGCAAACTTTACACTGTAACCTAAACTCTATATAATTGTTCTGGAAAGGACTGCGACCTCTTGTCATACGATTCTTTGCTTGAAGAAACAGCGAAAAAAACGGGAGGAAAAGAAAAAAATTCCCAGAGAAATTTTTTTAGCTCCTTACTCCTGACGCTAGGCAAAAAACTGGAGACTTGTCAGCAAGTGAGGGGTTGGGCCACCAGCAGGGGCCGCCCCTAGGCTGTCTTGTCTTTTTAGTTATGTGCCTAGCGTCCTACTCCTGCAGGTGGCGATATACCCTACCATTCAGGATCTACGATCTGTTGCCCTGTGTCCTTCAATGAACGGGAGAGAAATGGTGTAATTTGTGCTTGGAACACTTGCATGTTTACAGGATCAGTTACAGGGTCATTAGGAAATGAAGAGTTATACCAAGCAGAGCAGTCAGCTGTCAAAGATGAATGTCAGGATTAAATTTAGAGTTACTCAGGTAGGCTGCATCCTTGGGGAATATAATAAAAAAATGTCAGGACAGGAATACAAGAGCTGCATTTGCTGACTTGTATTTGACAGTACAACCACCAGGGTCATAATCCATGTCTGTCTTTTACTGTTTGGTGAGTCACCGATCCAGAACAAGCACCGGCATATCAGGTGCTCTGGCGTTTCACATGCCACATGCTTGATTTGGATCAGAGTCTTAGAGAATAAGGAAGACAACCTGTACATAAAAACACAAACAATAACAGATTCCACACCCTGACAGGTTCTCTTTAAGTTCAAACTTGGAATGGTTGGCAAGAGATGTCTTTAAATGCTATGTCTGCTACTTACTTGTAAAGGTCAGGCTGGGGTTGTTCACATTCAATGGTGGCTGTAAGACCATCAACAGCTTCAGCTGTACACATAGTGGATGTCTCCCGGACAGCACAATAGGTCTAAAGTGAAACACATACGTAGGTAATATATGGTTTTAGAGTGAAGATATGTCAGATATTTTCAGATATAAATCATACCGATTCTAATGGCCAATTCAAGAAACCTTTTAACTTTTAGATCTATTTTTAGAACCTCATTACCAACAGTCCCATCATTCATAGAAACACTGCTAAAATCTAACACTTGGCTTTCATGCTATTTATAGTGCAGTCGGGAGATCCAAATTATTTCTGTTGCCAAGATCTTTTTTCCAGTGTATCATCATTATTCAGAATACTGCCAGTGAGTTTTAAACAGTCCTGATCTGCAGAAAGACAAGGCAACCAGCAACATCACAAATTTGCTCCAGCAAAGTTGTTTCTGAACTTGTTAACATTATATTGGCATAACTTAAAAAGTATGAATGTTAAGAGAATGTGGCACCGAATGAAAATGGTCATCAGCCAAAGAGTTACCATGAAAATGTTCATGATGATGTCACAGAGCTAAAATAAATGCACGTGAAAGCTTCAGCTTACAAAAAGATATTTGGAAAAGGACAGTGAAAGTTTTATCTTTGACCATTAGATATATTACATCCAAGCACCTAGAGAATCCAACAGGACCTTATAGAGCCATTAAAGTCAAAAGGATTTTAAGCTATTTTAAATGTCCCAACTTCCTGTTTTAAAGTGACTCCTTTGTCAAGCAAAATGCTATGCAGTCATCCTTGTGTGTGCTAGTAAGCCGTGTGTGTCTCCACAAACACACAGACATGGCAAGGCAAGCCACTTCCATCCCCCATGGCCCCTTTCCTCCTCCAAGCTAGTAGATGACCAGTTGCTGGAGTCTGCTCTGAGTTTTGTGATCTTGTACTGAACAGTAGGTTCAGACAAGCTGAGCTAAGAGACTTGAAAGCAGCTCTTCAGAAACATGATGATTGTACGTATTTGGGCAAAATGGTAAAGCAATGCTTTGCAATATACATTTGTTTAATCTGGATTCATCATTGAAAAAAAGTTTGAGAATTTAATACTACTTGAACCCATGTACTGGTTAAAGAGACACTAAACCTTAAAAATGCATTCAAGTACCTTATTTATTAACAATACTGCACCATATTTGTTTATCACTCACCTGTAGATCCTCAAATCATCTCTGAATCGGTGCTAATACTGTCCTTGGTTCTGGAGGGTGGCTACTTTTGTTCCCCATGATCCCTGTGTGTGTTGTAAAGTGAACACCGCTCTAAGCTCACTCCCATGATGTACTATAATCTCATGTTTATTAATCTATGCTTGTATTTGAAGTTATAGTCTATCACAGGAGCGAGCTTGGAGCGGTAGCTACTTTACAACACACACAATGAATATGGGGAACAAAAGAAGCCTATCGAGAGGTGAGCGAACGCCGGTATGCGTTCGCTCACCTCCCGATCTACTGAGCCGACCTGTGACAGTCTCATTGTCACAGGTCGGCACTCACCTCATAGTTCTCCTTTAACTCCTGAGTTTAGTGGCACTTTAAACTTGTTTTGAAGAATAACTAATTTAAAAATATATTTGCAAGATTATTCACAGAAAGGTGAAGAGTTTGGAGAAGGCAGGAGAAGGGAACAATCTAGGACAACATAGCTGATGGAAAGTGAGCTGAATTGGATAATTTTTCCAGTTCAGCTATGTTGTCCTAGATTGTTCTCTTCCCCTGCCTTCTCCAAACTCTTCACCCTTTTGTGAATAACCATGTTGATCTTTGAATATATATACAGGGATGACAAGCAACTTTGTAATATAAACTCCAACTTCTGCAAGCTCATGCTGCTCCTTATATTGTAGAGAGCTGACTGCACACGGGGTGAATACAAAGAGGGGAAAAAAAAGAAAAAGCAACCAATGTGTTCAATAGCCTGGGCCTGCAATCACAACTATCAAGAACAGGAAAATAAATGGCTGAGTATTTAAATAGTTCATTTGCAAAGCAGCTTGGCATCCTTCAAATACTTTAATAAATACTTATAATAATTTTTGTAAGCATTACAGATGCAATAAATCAGGTTTTCTTGGTAGAATCCAAGATTGAATTACACACTGCACATATATACAGAACATTAAGCATTTTATGTGTAACTTATGGAACGTTTGTTATCTGTGGGGCTATGAAGTTTACAGAGTGAGAGCACTAAATAACACGGATATGATTCATAAAAAAATAACACAAGCGGTCATCACTGAGGTTTCCATTGAGTTCCTGCCAGGCATTTGGTATTTTTTTTAAAGGGTGACAGTTGTTGATGGAGTTACTCTATCCAACACTTTAATTGCTATATATAAATATATTTGAATTGTATAGATAAAATGACTAAAGGGGATATTTTGGAGTTAGGATTAAAGAAAGCTTGGAGGAGGACAGAAATAAATGTAACACAATTCCACATCTGGGCTACAGGTGCTCAAAGCCACATCATGTCTGAAAGCCGTCAATGGTACAAGATATGATATATAAGGTAAAGGATATCACATAGGGCAGATAGCACAGAACGGTTTATTTATAAACCATTCGCCCTGTGAACTTGTTTTTAAATCTGCAAAAATGAATGTTCTTAATATTTATTTTCCAAAACACAAGCACAAAAAGAGCGCCTTCTCTGGTGCAATATTCATTTATTAAGTGTAAAATAAATAAATAGACAACCATACTCACAAAAGATGGCCAATAAGGAGCCCCAATACAAGGAAAGTTCGGTAGCATTGCGACTCTTTTTGCTTGTACATGGTTTGACTATGTGTAGGTTACTGTTCCACTTGGGGAGTCTTGCCGTCTTACAGTGACGTGTGTGTACGTTTGTATGTGTGTACGTGTGTAATAGGATTCCATCAGTAAACAAGGAAATGTCAAAATTCTTCATATGTGATTTATAAATAATTGCATTCCAGCCTCAATGGAGACGATTATGCAAAACCATTACTGGAATTAAAACCAACAGAAAAATTAAAAGGAAAAAGAACCTTAACTAGGTGGATATATATATTTTGACCCCACAGGACCACCTTTTAACTAGCTATAAAAGACAAGCTCCCTCCCCCAGTACCTGTTCTCTTTTTTTCCTCACTCCAGGTCACAGTTCTTGGATCCTCCCTGCCATCTCCCAGCCGGTTTCAGCCTCTCCCGAGCCTGGAAGACCCCTCCACTGGCTGTAAATCTCCTTGGGAGCGGGTGTCCGTCAGGCAGGTATGTGGGGAGCTCTGATCTCAGGGTTTTCCTATTTTTCTTCCGCCGCGAGGCAGTGGCGAGCGTGATCCCTTCTGCGCAGGCGTCTGGGTCCCGAGATCTGCGCAAGCGCGTGTATCGCTATGGGGACGGCGGGGCGCTGGTGGCCGCGCAGGCGCAGTCGGGCCGTACTCGGCCGGCCAATAAGCCGCTCCTATCAGCGGGTAGCACGGGGGATTTAAAGCTCGGCGGGACACACTGTATCCTGCCTGGTTCAGCTGCTTCTTGGATCCTCGTGCTGCCGCTGTGTGGGGCGTCCTGTTACTACCTGTTGGTGAGTCTCTCTCTCTTGGTGTTTGGATGCAGGGGTAGTTTACCTGGGTCACTGTTCTTATTTTCCTGTCTCTCTCTTCAGCATTCTGCAGTATCATGAGCTCCTCTCGTCCTCTCTCTGACGCACTGCAAGCTGAAAGGTAGGGAGGCAGTATTGGCGAAGATCTAAAGATTAAAAGAGTGGCATAATGGATATATTATAATATTTCTTTGCCTTTCAGGAGTAAGAGCCATGGGCATAAGAGATCTAGAAAACGCACGATTAGGAGGCGCTCCTTCACTTCGGATTCCTGCCATGAGCGCTCTCCACAGCACCATAAACATAGATCACATGCAGATCCTGCGTCCCTTCCATCCAGAGGACAGGATTTCCCACCAGGTTCCTGCTGGTCATGTTCCTCACCAGCCCTGCAAAGGAAGATGCTGTGTCAGGCATGCCTTAAAGAGGTAGCCAAGGACAAGGACTCGGACTCATTGGAGATTAGATCCTATATTCATCAGGCTGTGAAGGACAGTCTGCAGGATTTACTTCCTGCGGTGGCATCTACCTCTCGGGACACGGCAGCACGACCTAGGGGATCTAGGCCAGTGAATGTGTCAGATGAGGGGGAAGTATTCTCGGACGCTTCCTCCATCCATGAGGGGCAGGAATTCCTTTCCTTTGATTTTAGTCTAGTTAAGCCCTTCATCACAGCTATTAAAGAGGCCATCGAATGGGAGGGCGTGGAACCAACAAAGGAGGTTCCAAAGTATTTCCCAAGCCTAAGACGGGAAGGCCCTACCTTCCCGGTAATGCCACCACCAGTGGTTGATGCAGCATTGCAACCACTGGCGCGCCACATTTCCCTTCCACTGGACAACTCAGTGGCCTTCAAGGATGTGATGGACCGCCGCATAGATGCAGATTTAAAGAAAATATATTCCTCGGCGGGGTGGGCATTGCGCCCCGCTTTGGCACTGACCTCTCTTTCGAAGGCCTTGAAGGTTTGGGTGTCCAATGTGGACATCGCACCTAAATCGGGATTCGAAAGCACTCGGATAGTCCCCGCCCTAGAGGAGCTGAATCTATCTGCGGATTTCCTGGCTGAGTCTTCAATAGACCTGGTCCACCTTTCTTCGAAGTTGATGGGGCATTCGGTCACGGCAAAAAGAGCATTGTGGCTACGGCATTGGACGGCGGACGCAGCCTCCAAGGAGGCGTTGTGCTCTATTCCGTATTTGTCGGCATACATTCCCTTCCCTGGTGGCCTGTTGTTTGGCTTGTCATTGAACAGGTACTGGGGGAGGGAGCTTGTCTTTTATAGCTAGTTAAAAGGTGGTCCTGTGGGGTCAGGGGGGAGGAGCTGACCCGTAGGTATGCCGACATGAGTATAAGCCAGGAAAAGAAAATTACGGTAAGTATGATAATAATTTTCCCTAATATGTGTATGTATATATGGACCATAATCCTGTAGAGAACATAACAAAACACCTTGACTGCTTGCCAGAGAGGTAATCAACAACAGAGAATGCACGAACAAATATTATGGAATGATTTACAATAACATTCAAAATAGAGTTACAATATCACATTGAAATAAAAAATATGGAAAAAAAGGTGTACTGGAGAAACAATCAATTGACCTTCATGTCTACTTTTCTATTTCCCCGCTCCTAAAATAATACGAGGAAGATGCAAAAATAGTTTGGCTTTGGATTGTTATAGAAGATGTACTATAGAAAAATAAGATTCTACTGAAATAATACCTTGAAGTTGGACTCTCCATCAAGACTGGCTGTGGTAGCACTACAGGTGCCATCACTGAAGCTGGAAGACAGCAGGATGAGGTCACAAGGGAAAGTTTCATCGTCTTTCACTTCTACGATGTCCCCAACCTTTTAAAAAAAAGAGAATATTTAAACTTTACATTACAGAAGATCAAAGCTTGATGTACAAGAACACTGGTCATTAAAAGTGTATGTAACTTCTATAAATCACTCCGAACTGATGTACAGAGATTTCTCTAATGAAGTTTGTGAGAACTAGGAGAGTGTAGTAAGTGACTGACCACAACAGTGGCAACCCAAATCTGATGCATCACTACAGGATGGACTAACCCTTTAAAGATTAAAGCTGAAGATATTATACAAATTGCAGCTCCGTATTTATTATTATGACCATAATGAGCTCATCAGTCTGCTGCTTCTCCTTTCACTGTGCAGTCACATGCTGAGAAAGTGACAAGACCTGTACGCGTTACTGAACTGCAGACAGGGCTGTGCTGTGTGGCAGAGCTGTGTAAATCTCATGACTTAATGAGCAGAAATAAAACGACAGATGGAACCGCTACTATATATGCATTTCAACACAGTTGAAGATTTAACTATCTCCAACAGCAGTGGGAGTTATTGAAGGCAAGGCAATTCGGACAATATACTTTCATTGCAATGCAATTTCATTATGTAATAGTTTACCTATGAATCTGGAATAATCAGAAAACTGTATCTATAGCTTGTCCTTACTGATGTAAAAGGGTACTTCAACATCAACAAGGACAGCTATAAAATGGTAAAACCAAAAATGCTAATTCAAGTGGGCTTAAACTTCCACCAGTTTTATTTTGTCCTTGGTAGGTTGGAATCTTAGGGATCCCTGGGATCAAATGTGGTTGCTAAGATTCCAACCTACCATTGATTCTCAATTCACCTGCTTCAGAAGGAAAGCAGCAAAGCTCCTACTGCTTTCCTTGACATGACAAAGGAACATTCCTTGCAATTCACATGGTAAAAAGACATGCTTAGCTGGAGTCCCAAACACATACAAGAGGCTAGAGATTAAAGCTGTCCATACACTACTCAAATTTTCTCCAAGTGTTGCTGACCTGGCCAAAACTCAACCAACGTGTGGCTCCCATCAACTCCCCCCTTCGTTTGAAGGCAGTTGATTTTTCGCTCGGCCGAATAATGACTGCAGCCACTGTCAGAATACAATATGCCATTGGGGGGGGGGGGGGGGGGGG